CCTTCCTTCCTTCCTTCCTTCCTTCCTTCCTTCCTTCCTTCCTTCCTATGCCCATCCATACATCCATTCATTCATCCATCCACCCCTTTTCTCCTTCTTCCCTTCCTCGCACCCTCCTTTACTCATGCTCTATTCCTTCCTTCCTTCCTTCCTTCCTTCCTTCCTTCCTATGCCCACCCATACATCCATTCATTCATCCATCCATCCCTTTTCTCCTTCTTCCCTTTCTCGTATCCGCCTTTACTCATGCTCTATTCCTCCCTTCCTTCCTTCCTTCCTTCCTTCCTTCCTTCCTTCCTTCCTTCCTTCCTTCCTTCCTGATGAAATGGGATCACATAACTATGGGACATGGCAACCGACATAAATATGAGTCAGTTGGCAAGCATCCAAATGTAAATCATGTGATGATGGGGATGTTGCAACGGTCATAAGTGTGAAAAAATGGTCCTAAGTCGCTTTTTTCAGTGCCAAATGGTCACTAAAGAAATTTTTGTAGCTCAAGGACTACTAGTATTTGTCAGAAGCCCGCTGGAAAGGTCTCAAATTCTTTTTTTAAAATATTATTTATTGTTTTATCATAAAAATAAAATACAAAACAGAAAAACAAACCAACAAAATGAAAGGAAGCAAAAGCATCCATCCAACCCTAAGAACAAAGGCCTCAAATTCGAATGGTCACTACGTCAAAGATCGTAAGTCAAGGGCTACTATTGGTCTTTTCATTATTATTTTTGTTTAAAGAAATCCACTAGGGTTGACCAAAGAAAGCAGCAAATTTCTAACCAGGTGATTGATTCCTTAAAATGGATTTCTTTTTCAAAAAATAAAATAAAATAGAGGTTTAAAAATTCCTATAATGAAGACTTCAAAATAAGTGCCCAGATTCAGGCATTTGAGATGGGTGCCTACATTAAATAAATAAACGAATGAATTCATATGACACCAAAGGTCATTACAGAGAATTTCTCCAAAGACTGAATGAAGAATTCTCGCTTGCTTTGTGTAAAGAATGCCCAATTCCTGCATTCCAATGGAAATGAAGCCGAGCTGATAACCAACAACGTACCTATACAAAGTGTGCCCATTACATCGGTGGTGTAGCCTTCCTTGCAGGTGCAATGGTACGTTCCTCTCTCATTGACACACTCTCCATTCCGACAAACGTCATAAATCACCTTGCACTCATCAATATCTGTGATTCAAGAAACAGGATTGTAAAGAAAGCGAAACTGAAAGAATAATTTAAAAAGAAAACCCAAATCACTGCCTCTAGGAGCCATGTTCTTTGGATACTTTCTTAGAGGAAAAGAAAAAAACACTACTGACCAATGAAAAGAAATCATCTTCCATTTTGGAATCTTATTCAAAATGCTGAATAATTTAGAAAGGGCGGTTACAATACCGAAAGGCTAGGTTCATTTTCTGTCTTAATTATCGTGTTTCCCCCGAAAATAAGACCTAACCAGAAAATAAGACCTAATACGTGTTTTGAAGTAAAAATTAATATAAGACCCTGGTATAATTTTCAGGGAAACACAGGTACTAAACTTCCAAGATCAGCCCAACCATCTCTACTGGATTCTGGGTGAGCATCCTTCCCTAGCTAATGTTGGAAGTCAAACTTCAAGTTGGCACTGAAGAGAAACAGAGAGGTAACCAGTGACAGGGATGAAAGTGTGGATCTCAAAGTGCTTGTTAGACTTTGCAGACCCCTTCTCAACTGGATCCCTCAAACTAAAAACACAAGACCTATTGCCCTACAATTTGGAACATAGCCACCTTGCTAACTAGTCCCTTGCTAACTATCCCAATAATAAAGACTTGTATTTTATTATTAAACATTGATGAGTTCCTTACATCCTCCCAACTGGTTTGATTTACTGCCTTGTTACTTCATTTCTGGAACTCCATATCTTGCTCTGCCGTATTTATTACCTTATTTTGTCTTGTTGGATTTATAGTTTAAAGTTTTCAGTTTACAACATTTGGATTGGAATTTCTGCAGCCAAAGGCTGTTGCAGGTTCCTGGGAGAGTTTTTCTCCAGACCGGAAGGCAACCGGATCATTGGGGGCAAAGTTGAAACTAATAAAGGGACCTCTACTTATAATCTGGCTGTGTTGCCTTTGTGTCACGCCCCAGGTCATCACACTCACCTTCTCCGGTAGTGGTCAGTCCACGGCCGTATGGACAAAGCTTCTTAAATGCAATGGTGCCATGGAACGGGCAGATCTCGCAATTGGGGCCCCATCCTCGCCCGCCATCACAGCAGCACTCGGATTTGGTCACCGGATTCCTGCTGCTCGATCCGAGCTGGCACATGTTGTGTAAGATTTCGGTGAAGCAGTAGCCTTCTCTGATGTCTGCAAAAAGCAAAAGGAGGTCGGTTGGGAAATGCCGGAAGGAAGATGCCTAGCGAACAGAGGGAAGGACAGGGTTTTGGAAGCAGGAATATAAAAGGAAGAGCATACTTAGCCGTGCTTAGGAATTGGAGCAGGAGAAATAAGGAAGTCAGGCAGCAGTAAGAAAGAAGGCATGACATCTAAAGAAAGAAAAGAGAAGAAAGGACACCGAGTGAGGAAAAAATATAGGGAACTCTGCCCTGGTGGTGAAATCTTGAGAAAGAAAAGATGGAGGTGCGATCAAGAGTTTAGAATAATCCCAAAGGATTGTTAGGTAGCAGCAGAACAATTCAGAGCTGATTCATATACAAAGAGGGGGGGGGGAAGCATTGATTGGGTAGATCAGCTTCAAATGAACCTTCCCCCTAAATCCAGTTTACAGCTCCATTTCTATTTATTGACTTATGAAACGTATTAATTTATCAAATTTATTTGTTGCCCAGCTTGTATCTAACGGTATTTCTAGCTGGAGATCTTATGTGCATTGTGTAGGAAGGAAGGTTGCTGTGTGTGTGCAGTAGAGATGTGTGCATGAAAAGACTCTGATGATTCCATGAACCATCGGGCCTGTGGAGATGCCGTTTCCACACTGTACCGCACCAACACATTTCAAACCCAAGGCGGTCCATGTGTAGAGGCAGTCCTTGACGTATGACCACAATGTGGCCCAAAATTCGTGTTGCTCAGCAAGACAGCTGTTGTTGAGTCTTGCCCCATTCTATGACCCTTTTTTGCCCCAGTTGTTAAGTGAATCACTGCAATTGTGAAGTTAGTAATACAGTTTTAAGTGACTCTGGCTTCCCCATTGATTTGGCTTGTCAGGAGGTCGCAAAAGGGGATCACGTGGTCCTGGGACTCTGCAACTGTCGTAAATACATGCCAGTTGCCAGGCATCTGAATTTTGATCACCTGACCACGAGGATTTATTTTATTTATTTATTTATTTGATTTGCCAATTGTTTACAAGATAATAAGTATAAATGTATACATAGTTGTGAATACATGAAATGGGTACATATAAGAAAAATAAAAGAATAAGAGAAACAATAGGACAGGGACGGTAGGCACGTTAGTGCGCTTATGCACGCCCCCTACAACTGATGTTGCACCAGTTCTAAAAACATTATGTCAGGACTCCGACATGCACTCCCATTCCAATCATAAGTCTCTAGCCGCATCTAAAAATGATCAATGATCATTATTTTCAGGGCTGTTGTAACTTTGAACGGACACTAAACGAATGATTGTTATGTCAAGGATTGCCTATATATTCATTTTCTAAGAACTGCATTGAATAACAGTGAGTACGTTTGTTTGAACTTCACCATTCATTTGATGACACTACATCTTTCCAGAGGTGGGCTTCAAAAAGTTTTAGCAAAGGGTTCTGTGCCTGGTTGCTGGGTGGGCATAGTCATGGTGGGGCGTGGCCTAGTCGGCCTCCTGCACCATGGCGGAGGGAGGCGTTTTTGCCCTCCCCAGACTCCAGAGGATTTCCTCGAGCCTCCAAGAGGGCTCCGGAGTCTCTCTGGAAGCTGGAAACAGGCCCATTTCTGTCCTTCCCAAACTTCTGAGAGGCCTGTTTTTTTGCCCTCCCTGAGCGCCCTGCACTTACCTGCATCCAAAACGGGCCATATGGGGACTCCTGGGAGGGGCGGAGCGGGGTGGGTGGGACGAGCCAGGAGTGGGATTTGGAGGTTCTCCGAACTGCACAGAATGTTAGGTAGGGGCTCTCCCCCGAAACCCTGCCAACCCCAGCAGCCCTACCCTGCACGTTTTATGATGCTTCCATCACCGAAACAGCTCTACTGCGTTGCCCTGCTGTTTTTTTCCTTCATATCCAGTAAAATCCTACTGTGATGTAAGACCATGGATTTTAATTTAAGCTTCACTTGTGTGCTAATTGTTATCAGAGTTTGCAAATCGGGGAATATTGCAAACGAGGAATTAACCACTTTTATTCCCTTATCCTAAGTTTGTATCATTCTAAAGTCTTACCTAGACATTCATTCTGGGCTTCGTTGACAAGGAAACCATCTTCACATTCACATCGGTAGCTTCCGTGCGTATTTATACACCGTCCGTTTTCACACAACCCAGGTTTCACTTGGCACTCATTTTCATCTGTTTCAACGATATATCCAAATGCAGTGTTAGCTTACTGCGTTCAACATTTAGCAGGAAGAAGGGAAAAAAAACCAACCCCATTCACTCCAAAATAATAAATACTTATATCCTTTAAAAAGACAATACAAATATGTAATTGCTACAAATGGAAAACAAATGTAACTGAGATCCAATCCTATAGTCTTATTTATATGAATAGGTATGAGAGATGGGAGTTTTTAAAGCTCTTACATCATTAAACAAATTCTCATTGGCAATAAAGAGCCCTGGTAGCGCAGTGGTTGAAATGCAGTATTGCAGGCTAACTCTGCCCACTGTCGGCCGTTCAATCCTGACCAGTTCAAGGTTGACTCAGCCTTTCATCCTTCTGAAGTCAGTCAAATGAGGAACCAGATTGTTGGGGGCAAGATGCTGACTTTTTAAACTGCTTAGAGAGGGCTGTAAAGCACTATGAAGCGGTATATAAGTCTAAATGCTATTGCTATGAGATTCATGAGTCAGGAGCCCTGGTGGCACAGTGGTTGGAATGCAGTACTGCAGGCTAACTCTGCCCACAGCCAGGGGTTCGATCCTGACCCAGGCATGGCACAAAGGCAACCCAGCCAGATTATAAGTAGGGGTCCCTTTATGAGCTCCAACTTTGTCCCCAATGACATAGTTACCTTCCGGTCTAGAGAAAAACTCTCTCACGAACCTGCAACAGCCTTCGGCTGCAGATATTCCAGGTTGATTCAGCCTTCCATCCATCTGAGGTCGGTAAAATGAGGACCCAGATTGTTGGAGGAAATATACTTGTATTTGTAAACCTCACCTACCCCCAGAGAATGCTGTAAAGCAGTATGAAGCGCTATATAAGTCTAAGTGCTATAAATGTGAAAACTGAAATAACAAGGCCACTCACCTATGCAACCTTCACCATCTGGTCTACGCTGAAATCCTGGACCACATATGCACATATATGTACCGATCAGGTTTTTACATGTCATTTGCTTTGAGTCACAGTCATGAATTCCTTCTTCACATTCGTTCTGATCTGAAAGTATTACATCATTGGATATTGATGAAAAGAAATGGAAGTTCTCCATAGTTTGAGAAGCACAAACCTCAAAATATTAATGTCTCTATGTAAAACCAGGGAGCTCGTTTCTACATTCCTTTGGAAGGAACCATGTAAAAATAATTTTCCATCACCAAAATTAAGGAGGGGAACGCAAGTGAAATTCAGAAAGACCTGCTGAAGTTTTAATCCCTGAAATTTCAATATTCCCCGATAGACAATGAATGAAAACTATTTTTTTTTAAAGTTAGGAAATGGAAGGGTAAGATAGATTGCCTCCTTTTTATTTACAGATGTTCTTCATCACAACATACTTCATGATTAATGAGGTAGGTTTTGCATTCGTTTTCTTCTTCCTCTGTTAAGTAAGAAGCTGTTTTTTATGGTTCCACAAAATTGGAACCATTAGTCCCTTAAGGACATTTTTTCAGTTTCACGGGAAAAGACCCAGTTTCATTAAAGATGAGGCTTTAATTGATACACTTCTGATGCATTTAGTCTTGGTTTACAATTGAGAGCTAGTTTGGTTTAGTGGTTAAGGCACTGGATTAGAAACTGGGAGTTCTAGTCCTGCCTTGGCAACAAAGCCAACTGGATGGCCTTGGGCCAGTCACTCTATCTCTGTCTGGAGGCAATGGCAAACTACTTCTGGAAAACCTTGTCCAGAAAACAGCAGGAACATGTCGAAGCAGACTCTAAGGAATCAAAATGTTTGAGTGATAGCCAACATATGATATCTAGGAATCAAAAAAACATAATTAGGATCAGGGGTGGGATTTTTTTAACAATTGGTTCTGTGGGCGTGGCTTAGTTGGTGGGCATGGCTTGGTGATCATGTGACTGGCTGGGCATGGCTTGGTGATCATGTGACTGGCTGGGCATGGCCAACTCAACATCACTCACATCAAGGCATGCATCTCCTCGCCTGGCCTCTCATGACTTTAGGGATGCTGCAACAGTCGTAAGTGTGAAAAACGGTCATAAGTCACTTTTTTCAGTGCCATTGTAACTTTGAATGGTCACTCCACACAAGCAAAGTACCAGCAAAGGAGGGGAAAAAAACTCCAGAGAAGTTCCAGAGACAGGAAGTCTAGTCCTGCCAAGAATGTAATAAGGGTTAACGGAGAGGCAGTTTCTGTAAGCAACACCAAAATGTTTCCTTCCTGCCTTCCTTACAGGATTAGGCCAGTAATTTCTTCTAACAACCAGTTCTCTGAACTGCTTATAATGTTAACAGCCGGTTTTAGCGAATAGGTACAAACTGGTAGAATCCCACTCCTGATTAAGATGTGCAATTAGATTGTTAATTAGAGCCCGAGATGTGGTTATTATTTGTCTATATTGGCTTGACTTCTTCTTTAGATCTTTTAGGATGCTATTGTATTGTGTTTAAATGTTGTCAGTTTCTCCTACCACTTCTGAAAAACCTTGCCTAGAAAACTGTGGGGACCTCTCCAGGCAGCCTCTGAGAATCGAACATGATTGGATGGAAGAAGAAAAATTTTTTACATTTTATACAGTAAGGATTTTACCTTTGCACATTCGCTTGTCTTCTCTGAGCACATAGCCTGCGGGACATTTGCATTCATATGAGCCATAGGTGTTCACACATCGGAAGGCGCAGAGGAGAGGATTCTGAGCGCATTCGTTCACATCTGCATAAAGAAACACACCAGTCATTTGGGGAACAAATGAATCCCATCAGGAAAATAGTATGCACCAAGAAATAGATGTACAGAGTATAGAAATGGGTTCTTTCCAGAAGAAATCATTTTTCTCTGTGCTGCAAGCATGGAATATAAGAGTAGAATAGAATAACAGAGTTGGAAGGGACCTTGGAGGTCTTCTAGTCCAACCTCTGCCTAGGCAGGAAACTCTGCACCACTTCAGACAAATGGTTATCCAATATTTTTTTTAAAAAAAACGTCCAGTGTTGGAGCATTCACAACTACTGGAGGCAAGTTGTTCCACTGATGAATTGTTCTCATTGTCAAGAAATTTATCCTAAGCTCTAAGTTGCTTCTCTCCTTGATTAGTTTCCACCCATTGCTTCTTGTCCTGCCCTCAGGTGCTTTGGAGAATAGCTCTTCTTTGTGGCAGTCCCTGAGATATTGAAACACTGCTATCATGTCTCCCCTAGTCCTTCTTTTCATTCGACTAGACATACCCAGTTCCTGCAACGTTCATAGTATGTTTTAGCCTCCAGTCATCTTTGTTGCTCTTCTCTGCACTCTTTCTAGAGTCTCAACATCTTCTTTACATCGTGGCAACCAAAACTGAATGCAGTATTTCAAGTGTGGTCTTACCAAGGCATTATAAAGTGGTATTGATTCTATATGATCTTGATTCTATCCCTCTGTTTATGCAGCCTAGAACTGTGTTGGCTTTTTTTAGCAGCTGCTGCATACTGCTGGCTCATATTGAAATGGTTGTCCACTAGGATTCAGAGTGGATAAATATTAGACTTGAGCACCAAATATGAATTCTTTTATTTAACCTTTCCCACTATTGGGAGGTGATATAAAAGGTCTCGAGTACTGAGAAATTCTATCTGCCTCTAATGCACAGATTGGATTTTTTTAAAAAAACTATAAGCTCCTATCAGGAAGACAATTGGACTATTGGGAAGCATAAAATAGAGCAGTGTTTCTCAACCTTGGCAAGTTGAAAATGGGTGGACTTCAACTCTCAGGGGAATTCTGGGAGTTGAAGCCCACACATCTTCAAACTGCCTAGGGTAAGAAACACTGAAATAGAAGACTGAAGTTGATGTGTGCCTAATTTCCTAAAAAGGTCGCACTTACCTTCGCATGTCACCATGGGTCCTGGCTCAAAACCTTCTTCACAAGTGCATTCAAAACTTCCAATGATGTTCTTACACGTTCCATTTCCACACGGAGTTCCAACGACACATTCATCAATGTCTACAATCAATAAAAGCAATTGGAAACACAGTGGGTGTTACTTCAGAAAATTGCAGGTGTGTATTGGAGAAACCCCAGGAAACTGTAGGGAGACGGGCTTGACTTAGCCCTAGAAAGCTTAGGATTTCCAATGATAGGCATCTCTGCTCACCAATACATTCAGACCCTTGCAGCAGGTAGCCAAAAGGACATTCACAACGGAAGGAGCCATCGGTGTTGATGCACTGTCCGTTCTTACAGTTGTCTGGATCTTGACACTCATCCGCGTCTTAGTCCCCATATTAAGCAGGCAGGAAGACAAAAGGGGAAAAAACAAGCACTCTTGTTTCAAACAGTCCCGAGATAATTAATAAACACAAGATGAGTCACAGTAAAATAGCAGCACAACGTAGGTTGTACCACTCTGTTGTGTCCTGAAAAATATCCGCATACATTTATATTATGCATAAGTTTATAATTTTTATGCAGGAAGTTACAGGGATCTTCTAGGATTTTCTGCTACAATAGAAAATAAGCAGAAAATAGCAGAAATAGGAATCTTCTTGATATAATACATATCGAGACAAACACTCAAACATCTCCCCTTGAAGAGAATGGGTAGAAACAGCAGCATTAGATCTAAAAGACTAGATCTAAAAACTTCATGCTTTTTCAATGCTGGGAGTGTGTTTATTTCACCCAGCAAGGGAGATACTCCAATTAATCACCAGGAAGGCATCAAAATCATTAAGAACATGAAAATGAGATAATAAAGAATCCTGGTCTGTGTAGAGATGGGCAGACTGACATTAAAAATTAAAGATAAGAATGAGATAGAATACTACGAAGTTTGGAATAAAATGTACCAATGGTTGGATTTGAGGAAAAAGAGTCGGAACAAAAAACTTTGAGGTTTTAATTGAAGGTGGAAGGTATATAGATAAAGACAATGAAGTATAGTTGACAAAATGATTGTATAAAAAGAATATAAATGGAGTTTATGTTGTAAATATAAACATAAATGAATGAATTCAGTAATGTATGATAAGTAGGAAATTATCTGTTTTATGTAGTTTTACATTACAGTATGGTATGTATGGCAAAGACAAATGCCAGGAAAGTTGCACTGTGTCCAAATTTTAATAATTACTTAATAAAATTTTTCCCCAAAAAATGCACTAAGAACATCAGAGTGATTTTTAGATGTGATAAAAAGAGTATCTCTAAGAACAGAGGTCCCCAAACTTGGCAACTTTAAGACTTGTGGACTTCAACTCCTAGAACTCTCCACCCAGCATAGCTGGCTGAAGAATTCTAGGAATTGAAGTCCACAAGTCTTAAAGTTGCCAAGGTTGGAGACCTCTGTTTAAGAAACTAGCAAGGAGGAACATCAGAGTACAATAACATTGCAAGCGAAGTTGACTTACCAATGCGCTCGCCTCCTGGACCAACCAGAATGCCAACTCCGAATGGACAAATTTGCTTATAAGCTTCTGTAAATCAAATACAAATATGAAATGCAGAAAACCAACCACGTTCTTTTGTTTTAGAAAGTGCATATAAACCAGACTCCAATTTGTTTGTTTTTTAAATATTCTGTTCAATCACCACATTTTTATACAGGTTCTGTAATTAATACAGGACCTTTACTGCCTACTGTACCAGTTAGAAATATAAGTATCCATTTTATCAATCTGAAGAAAATTCAGCCTATGCAAGCTTTGTGACATGCCCCTGTTGGAGACTGACTCCAAGGGAGAGGAGGAACAGTCGACAAGGAGTGGAAGTGTGGCTCCGGAGGTTGTGGAGGAGGCTGGGGAAGAGCAGAGGCCGGCTGAGCAGTCAGAGGAGGACCCAGGCCCATCCCCTCTCCATCCTAGGGCACGCAGGGAGGAAAGGATAAGGGAGAGATGTGGTCTACTGGGGAGGAGAGGGCCTTGATCCTCTTCATGGGCTGCAGCTGTGACAACTGAATAAGAGAACGGACATGCGTACAGACGAATACTGGAAACAAAGCATGGAAATATCTCTAGTTTATGGTTCCTCTCTGAGTTTGGCGTCCTTTCCAGTGTGTGTTATCTGTGGACGTCCTCCAGCCCTTATCTTGCCTGGTTTGTGTTGTTTTTTTCCTCCTTCTTGTAACTGTTTGTGTGCGAGTTTTTTGTCTTCCGTCAAGAATATTCAGAGCTTGGAAGCAAAGTGAAGGAATAAAAGGGGCTTCACCTATTTTCGGTGACTGTGTTTGTTTTTTATCCCACCCTGGGCCATCACACTTTGTCTTTTTCAGAAAATAATTCATTTCTCCTTTCATTTAGTAGCATGCACTGCTGTAACCATACAAGAGGTTGTGTGTATATACCATCTTTTTCCTCTGGACAAAGTTCACAGGGATCGCCCCATCCTTGCCCTTGCATGTTGCAACAGCATTCTTGCTTAGAATGGTTCCGGGACTTGGGGACCAAACATTTTCCATCTTCAAATTTAGTGAAGCAGTAGCTCACCCTCAGATCTAAATAATTAAGAACATGACATCCGTTAAGCATTTGATTAGAAAGAGATTTTTCACTGAAAATATGAAGAATGTCTTGCAAATCACAATGGAACCCTGAAACTCAGCGGCTTTGAAACTCATCCAATTTGGTACTCAACCAAATCTGGATGTGAACATTTTGTCCCAGTACTCATTGTTTGTTTGGTACTGAATGCTCAAGCTAGAACTTGTCGATATTGGCTACTTTGTGACTCACTACATTATTTTCGTGGGGAAAATTTGGTACTCATTGTTTTGGTACTCATTGCACCTCATGGAACTAATTAACGATGAATATTGAGGTACCAGTGTACTGATGGGTGAAATATACTATATTGAAGTTCTCCATACATGGAAGAGCCTCTCCTTAGCTTCCTTCTCATGGTTTGTTTTAGAACTGACCACACTGCTGAGCCCTGAAAGTTATTTTGTGAATGGACAAATTCCATTCATAGCATCCTAAATACCTATAACACCTTCCCGAAATTCCAAAAAGGCATATACTATGCTCTTACAACCATTCCTGAGCACATCTATACTTACATTCAAATCATATGTTGCCTATGTTGATATATGATTATCAGTTGCTATTGACTGTACTAAGTAGTTATTTATTTAAATTTATTTATTAAATTTCTATGCTATATTGTGGGGGAGAAATGGAATGGTGGGCAAGCACTTACCTTTACCATCTCTTCTCTTACTTCAAGATGAATGAAACTATTGGTCCCATTTATCTTGAAATAAGAAAGATATAAATGGTTCCATTTGTCTTTATATCCTAGAATTAACTCTGTAGGCAAGTTGATGGAGAAAACAGAAATTTTCTGATTGTGAATTTTCTGACCTTCAACATCTTATGGAAGGCATTTTTTAATGTTCTGAGGTTCTCAACTCCATTCTTAAATTGAAAACTGCAACTTTGGTATTTTAAAGGGTTTACTACATTCTATTAATCACCAACCCAGATCAAGTCTTCGTAAAGGATGGAATTAACCCCAGGATTCCTTATCTACCACATTTAAGTCTACATCTCCAACAAACTCCGACGAATAACCACATATCTGCATTTTCAGTAAATGCCCTCACTTAAGACTCTGGGGAGAGATAATTCAATTTAACAATCATAAAATATTTGCCTCACTATTCTGGTTTTAATAAATGAATCAACTATATTATTCTGTTTAATTGTCACATTCCAATGCTATAACCACTAATCCCCAACAGCTGGAACAGCACAGAGTTTCCAATTAAATTCTGGTTCTAATTTTGCTACAGTTAACATGCTTTATAGAAGCTTCCAAGCTTAAAGTTCTCACTTATTATTTTACACAATATATAGACCATTGGTTTCCTGATGCCCTATAATTTGGGGTGGGTGGGTTCCTGACTGATTTCACCCTCTACCCCCCTCCCCCCAATCCCTTAAAAAATTCCTGGACAACTAACTGACTAACCAATAGCTGAGAAATGGTTTTGAAGAGCCAGAGAGAAGAGACAGTCTCTCTTCTTTATTCTTCCAGATTTCCAATGTGCCATTAAGGATGGTTGATGTCATCCTTTTGAGGCAGGTCAGATCAAGATAAAAGCCCAACAGAGACTCCAAGAATGCTCTTTATTTATTAAGGGAGAAAAACAGAACCTAGAAGGCCTGTCCAAGTTTCTCTTTGTCCCAACTAAACAAAATCACAGGCAGGCACATTCTCACTCTTCCTTCTTTCTCTACTGCACTGTGAATTTTTTTGTCGTCAAGTCATCCTTTAACAGCTTGCACATTCCTTCCCCAAAGCCAGCTCTACATTCCTTCATTTATTTATTTATTTGACCTAGACTTCGGGGTGGATCACGGCATAAGGCATTTTATGGTCATCAAGCACATTGAAGCTTATGAATATTGCCCAAAATTTTCACTGCTAAGCAAGACAGTTTTGCCCCCATTTTGTGACCTTTCTTGCCACAGTGGTTAAGTGAATAACACAGTTGTTCAGTGAATCTGGTTTCCCCATTGACTCTGCTTGTCAGAAGGTCGCAAAAGGACATGACCTCAGGATACTGGAACCATCATAAATACGTGCCAGTTGCCAAGCGCCCGAATTTTGATCACATGACTATGGGGGTGCTGCAATGATCATAAGTGTGAAAAATGCTCAGAAATCACTTTTTTTCAGTGCAGATGTTAACTTCCAACAGTCCCTAAATGAACAGTTGTAAGTTGAAGACTACATGTAACTGCATATTGATTACAGGAAGCAAATATGGCCACTTTAAAAAAAAGAAGAAGAAAGGGGAAGATAATGAGCTGAAGTAAAGGAACTAAGTCTAATTATTTTCTCTTTGCTGATAAAAGAGACCATGCCTTGCCCCATATTAATGAGTATATTTGTGGTCTGAAGTAACTACTTCAGATTGCTGTGTTTTTAAATGAGTGACGGACTTTTCAACTTTAAACTATCAAAAGGATTCAAGATACAGAAGCATGATATTTGTTCACTGGGTTTATAAGATCCTTGTTGCCTTGATGATGTTTTACCTAGAATGCAAATAAGTTGTTTCTCTGACATCAGTTCCCCAATCCTATTTGTTCTTACTCTAATAAAATGCATTTGATTTATGATTAGATCAGATCAGATTAAATATTGGAATGGCTATCCCATTCTTTCTCTTTTTAGAGTACAGTTGTCCAAACTGTTTGGGAGTACTATAATTCTGTGTCACCACAAAAGGTTCTTCCATGTCAAATAATTTAAGCACTAGAATAGAGCAAAAACCGCAAATATTTAAATACAGTTGGCAGCATCTGTGGTTGGCAAGAAAACAGCCTGAGTGTAAGCCAATTGCTCATCTGGTTCCCTGGACAGAGAATCACATGGAGTTATATCTAAAAATGTGTTACCTTAGTCAAAAAGTAAGAAAGAAAATATCCAGCAACAATTCACTTATCTCAGCAATCTACTGTAATTAATATTTGATAAATAGATACTTTCTCAGATGAGGCTACCAGACTTAAATGAAGTTTGATACTACCTAATTGCTTTTTAAAATAGAAATAGTGATTTCTGTGGTCAAAGAAAAAGGCTCATATTTTTCTATTTTGTACCACTTGAATGCAACAGAACTGAATAAGCTTTAAAATAGGCAATTTTGTCCATACTTCATTCTCCATCTCTTAAAGATTGAGTTTATGAACAAACTAAAGGCTTGTTAGCTTTATTGTCTTAAAGTATCAATAAGTCTCTGTATTCCTGTTTATGAATCTAGAATAAATTATTGTTGCTATTATTTCACAGTGATGGGTTAAAAAAGAAAACCAGTGAGATTTTAATGTACCATCTTTTTAAAAAGTGTAGGAACAATAGAGAAAAATTGATCACTAGCTAATAAAGAACAGGAAAAAAAATTAAGAATTTTATAGGCTATGTTAAGAATCGCAGAATGAAGAATTACAGCAGGAGGATTTCAAGTGAACTCCTTATCTTCCAATTGCTTTCTGAAAGATGGACTCAATTAACTTTGGAAGATTTGCTGAAAGGCAAAAAAAAATTGCCAAGACAACCTTAATCAAAATCCTTAATTATCTAAAAGCTGCTATCATATTTTTTGGTTGGAAAAAAATATTTCAAAATGGTAAGAAACAATAACAGCACTAATACAGAATGACTTAGGATTATTGTTTTTTACTGCAAGCATATAAAGCCCCACTCAGATTAATGAATTGCTCTCCAATACTTCTAAGCTTATAGATCTGAAAGTTTTAAACCATAAAATAATGATTGACATCCAGATAAGGGGATTCCTAAATTAAATTCTCATGGAATCCATTTACAGGACTTCCTTTAGAGCTGTTCAATAGGAAAAGACAAAACCACAAGGAGGAGATATATCTAATTTACTCAATTACAAAATCAAACCACAAAACATTCCTTTTCTTTTTCCCCTCAACCCAAGTAAGCAAGGCCAAACCACAAAGTGGTTTTGGATTTCTGATAAACTCCATCTTTAGCATAATTAATTATATTAACTGTGAGAGGAAGTGAGAAGACATTGCCAGAAGGCTGAAGCAGAGTCACCAGCCCAAAATTCTGGAAAGAACCACTGTTTCTTCGTTACAAAGGCAAATGACCCACTTAATGATTTCTAGACTGATTTTGTCTACCTCTCCAGATGTTACACTCAGTACTCAATATATGGTTAGTACTCTTGGCAACAAGATGCAGGGTGCAAACCCCTCTGCATTTACACGGAATAAATCCCACTGGATTGAGTGAAACCATCTTTTGGCTAATCACGTTTAGCACTTGCCTGAAAAATAAGGTTGCCAAGACAGTTTATGCTGTCTTCTTGAAATTGTCATCATCCTGCTGGGTTTGTGTGTGATTTCAATCCTAGTTAGTCACCTTGAGTAACAATGTGCTGGTTAGGTGACCGTAATAAATTGCCTAAATAAATAAATTAAAACGTGGCAACAACCGATGCCACAAGTGTTTATGAAGATGTATAAGGGAATCTACTGCTGTAATTTACAATTGACAACATAAATTTAGCATCTACATGAAATAAAGAAAAGACTCTTACCCTGACATCTTCGTCCATTAGTGGTCACTATAAAACCTTCAGGGCATAAGCAAACAAAACTACCTAGAGTATTACTACACGTGCCCAAGACACATAGATCTGCTTCTTCTTTACATTCATCAATATCTGTAAGGAAAGTATACTTAGAATTATAAACAGAATAAGGAACAATTTGCAAAGCCAGCAACCTGCATTCTCCACCATTCCTGTCCTATGAACACAGGGCCCTGATTTCAAGCTAGGAAGTCATCTGTTCACTTAATGGGTGGCCACTTCTTCACAGTTCAGTCTCACATTTCTGATACTCTGGACAGTGGGGAAATCATGGAGATCTATGGAGATTCTCCGTCATCTACGGAGGTCATAGCTGTCTCAAAGGTGCTTTTTTCAAAAGGCAACTGGACTGTTTTTTGAATTGCTCAAAAAGAAATGTGCATGCTGGATCTAAACTATGAACACTTCAACCCTGTATGAATAGATACCAGGAAAAGATCAACACGCTAATTCTTAATGAACCTCATTTGGCCAGTTGGTGGGGATTTTGTTGTCCAAAAAGGACCAATGTTGCTTGCTATAAGATTAGAACAAGGGGTGATTTTTTTTTTTTAGCTCTACTTTTTTTTTCCTATGACTTTTGAGTCCCCACTGCGTACCAATACACTTGTCCTCTTCTAAGGCATATCCAGGAGGACAGATGCACCTATAAGTTCCATCCAGATTCTGACATGTACCAGGAGCACATTTACCAGGATCTAGTGCACACTCATTGATATCTGTAAGAAAATAAACATAAAACAAAAATGAGTTCTTATTTTCATATGATCGAGCGCTACTGATTTTAAAACAAAAACAAGGAGAAAAACTTTTTTAAAAAAACCATAGGCTAGAAAAGATTTAACAATATAGACTTGTAATGCAACTAACAAAAAGTTAGATGTAGTTTGGGTCTTGAATGGAACATCACTTTTTCTGATACACTGTTGTTTATATCCCTAAAATTCCAATTTGTTGCATCACAAGTATGAATTTATCTACAAGCTAGATGAAATTAAACTATTGCAAGGCTTTAAAAAAAGAGGCGCTTCTCACTAATTTATAGGCCAATGAAAAAGCAACTGTACACAATATACCATACTGCGTATTTTCTTCCTGTAAATATTTTTCCTGGAAGAGAAAAATGTTTATGTCTGTCTTAAATTCCAACTGTGTTATTAAAACATTATAAATAAAGATTCTAATCTGTGAGATGATTGTAAAGTTCAAAAAGGATTTTCTTTTATAAAGAAAATTCTCTGATATACTGAGAAAGCACCAAACAGAGTTGCACTTTCTGTAGAACATCTTCTTCACCAGGACATATGAAAATATCAACCATTTAAACAGAAATGCAACAAACACTTTGATTAATTTCTTGACGTACCAATACAAAGCCTTCTGTCAGGTGACATCTCATAGCCCTCGTTGCAAAGGCATTCAAAAGACCCAACAGTGTTAATACATTGGCCATTTCTGCACAAATGTCCATTTCCGGTGGCACATTCATCAACATCTAAAAGGAGAAGAAAGAAAGAAAGAAAGAAAGAAAGAAAGAAAGAAAGAAAGAAAGAAAGAAAGAAAGAAAGAAAGAAAGAAAGAAAGAAAGAAAGAAAGAAAGAAAGAAAGAGGCAAGGAAAGGACAGATAGTTAAAAAGAGGGGAATTGAAGCAAATAAGAATTACAAACCACAACTGCCGTTACAAAAAGATGAGTTTTCCACCAATGGCATCCCAATGCATCCAAGCAGACTGATTCAGCCCTGCTTACACCTTCTATCTCCAATTCTCCAAACACGGTTTACAATTCTTGAGAAACTTTTTATTCCAAATAAAAATGGCTGAATTCAATCTAAGGCATGATCTGGTCACCTATCAGGAACCTTAACTGATATACCCATATTCAAAGAACACTTCTGTTATAACAGCAGGGTTTCTCAATGTTGGCAGCTTGAAGGTGGATGGACTTCAACTCCCAGAATCCAGAAGTTCAACCATTTTCAAGCTACCAAGGTTGAGAAACACTACTCTAGAGGATAATAGAGTGGGTCTTTTATATTACTGTTACAAAGTCCGGCAATTTCTTACCATAAATTTAAGTTAAGGAACTAGGATATGTTTCCAATTTCCTTGATATTGGGTGCGACCATTTTTTTTTTGAGTTAGGACTCCATTCAAAGGAAGCTTCCTATTTAGCTTCCTGCATTGTGTGTGTGTGTGTGTGTGTGTGTGTGTGTGTGTGTGTGTGTTGGAAATCCACAAGGATAGAGAATGGCCCTAACAAACAATATAAAGATTTGGGTAGGTAGATGTCAGCAGGAGTTGTACTTACTTCTTCTAAAAATTCATTATTACTTATTATTACTTACTCAGGTAATTACTATGTATATACGATGGGCTCCCAATTGCTTGCCAAAATAAATTGGCCTACACTAAACCTGCACCCCCACCCAGCATATGATTGTTAAATGATTAACTAATAAATTTATGCTGCACAACTGGAAAGTTTCCTTACCTATACAGTCATTATTGTGGGACAGGATGAATCCATTATGGCAACGGCAGTTGAAAGAGCCAATTGTATTTCTACAGGTGCCATTTCCACAGGGATCTCTTTCACATTCATTAACATCTGTGAACAGAGTAAGAAATTCAGCATGTTTTCATGTACATATTGTTGACAACTCAAAAAGAAATACGAATCAGTTCACTAGCATGAGTCAAGGTAAAATTAAGTCGGACATATTGGTGAAATCGGACCCAATCTTGAATCTTAGAAATATGGTTTTTCAAAAGAAACAAATAAAAGGTCTTATGCTATTTATGTACAGAAAGATGCATCCATCCATACTGTAACGAGAGACAGAGAAACTGAATTAATCAGAATCCAAAACAGAAGTGAGCCAGATCAAGGTTTGTAGCTTTCATTGTGAGCTATCTCACAATGAAAGCTACAAATCTAAACAAATGATGAAAACTGTGGTGAAGGGATCTGAACAAGTCTAAAATGCATGAAAACATTGGCCTGTAAGAAACATGAAAACTATTAATAATTCTTCTGCAGGCATGTTTTTGACTATTAGTTCTTTCTTCTGTCTAAGACGTTTCTGCAAGTTTTAAGGGGAAGATCAAATTTATTTGTTTATGAATTTATCTGTGACAGCTCTGGGTAACGTACAAAATATAACAATTTACAATCAAGTTAAAACAAAGAATTGCATAATCAAAGAGAAGTCTGGAAAAGCCAACAACTATCCAACAAACCACAACACCACACAAGGAGTTCATCATCCACTCTGACCCAAGGAATGGATAGATCCAGCTTATAAAGCAGGGGTGGGCAACTATGTCAACGTTACAATTTGTGGACTTCAACTCCCAGAATTCCTGAGCCAGCCATGTTCTGGGATTTGAAGTCTTCAAGTCATAATGTTGCCATAGATGTCCAATTCTAATCTAAAGGCTCATATAAGTCAGATCATGTAGGGCTGTCAAACTCCTGGCCCGTGGACACACTGGCCACACCCACACCCAGTTTAGCCAAAGAGGGAAAAAGTCCTGATATGTCATGTGACGCCACTGTGACGACATGAGTTTGACACCCCTGATGTAGGAGCTACATCTATCTACATCACATTGATAAAATGACCCACAATGAACATTGCCTTTCTGTTACTCACAAGGCTAAAAATATAAATACATACATACCCAAACACATTGTTTCATCTTCATTGGTTTTGAATCCCGTGTGGCAACGACACGTATAACCTCCTTCACGGTCTACGCAATCGCCATGGCTACAAATATTGGGTATCTCTAGACACTCATTGCGATCTGTAATCATAGAAAGCTTAAAAATTTCAGAATATTTCAGGAAGAGAACGATAGGGGAAAAACAGTTGAAAAAGAGTTCAATCTTTCAAAATATGAAAATTTTGCTAACTTATTTCTTGAGCACAAAGCACAAAATTAGCTTTAAATTTTGGAGAAAACTATGACAAGTTGAAGTAGAAAAATTTGGCACCTTATTAGTTCCTCTTTAAAGCATTGTAAGGAAAAATTAATGCAATCCTAACAGTACAATGGATTAAAAAATGTATGTATTCCTAACAAGTTCAGCTTATTGTATCTGTCCATACAAATGTGACTTAAAATGACACACTTATCAAGCTGCTAATATTGCATTTTATTTTCCCTTCCTGAGCAAAATTCAGGGAAATAAAGTCTCTGCCAACACATATTAAGGTACATTGTTGATTGTATCAGCTTTTGACCTGTAGCTTCCTGTTTCTATTGCAGGGAAGGAGCTTACAGAATTATAATGTTTAACAAGATGCTAAATCACCACATTTTCCTAAAGAATCCAAACCTTTCAATCTCAAAGTCAAACTCCACTTCTGCTTCTGCTTGTACACCCTTTTCCTGCAAAAACTTCATATCTATGGGAAAAGGTACTCTTCTCTCAAATACAGCTCAAAAAATGCCAACGAATATACCACCTCCACTATTACTACTATATCTACCAGGCGGGCATCTGGCCCACAACATGCCTGACATCACTATTGTGCAAAAGAAAAAAAAGTCTGGTTCATTCATATTGCAATACCAGGGGATGCACAAATTGAGGAGAAACAGCTACAGAAAAATAACACAATATCGTGATTTGCAAATTGAAGCTGAGCTATTGCGGAGGAAGAAATCAATGGTTAGACCAATAGTAATGGGAGACCTTGGAGCAATGCCCAAAGGGCTACCTAGATACATGGAAATTTTGAACTTATTGGACCTGAATATCCTGACTTTGCAAAAAAAAAAAAAAAAAAAAACCATCCTACTTGAACCTGCCTATACACTCATATGCTACCTTAACAACTCTTAGGTCTTGATTAGGACTTGAACTGTTCAGTTTTTACCAGTCCCAGACTGTGAACTGAATTGAAGATTAAATCAACAACAACAATAATAATAATAGTAGTCAATGATCAATGATAGTCAATGATATTTGTGATACATTTTTAAATGTTCAGTTGACTGAGTTTCATGTTTAATGTATAAAAGTTTATAATAATAATCATCCTCATCATTAAACATGAAACTAAGTCAACTGAACATTTAAAAATGTATCACAAATATCATTGACTGGTGCTGATAGTTGATACAGGTTGATGCTAGCAACCAAATTATTCCAAATTCCTTATGAGTAGGTGGTCAGTTGATTCTAATTTGAATTTAATTATGGGGAATTTTCATTATTGTTATGACATTTGGTTGATGCTTAATTGCTGTTAGCTACTCTACAAGCAGAGAGAGAGAGAGAGAGAAAGAGGGGGACCTATGAAACTGAATTTGCCCTTCAAAACAAATAAGGAAATTAATTTTTTAAATATATAGTAGTAAAACATTTTGAGGTTGGTGGTTTAAATCAGCTGCTCACATTGCTGCAGAGATAAAAAAAATTATTACAGTATGTTTATATGAACATGTTTAAAACAGGGTACTCTACACCAGAGGTCTCCAACCTTGGCAACTTTAAGACTTGTGGACTTCAACTCCCAGAATTCTCCTGCCAGCTATGCTGGC